GTTGAGTTCTGGGACACTCTGTATATTGCTAGTACTGGGCTCGATACTAATTTGTTTTTTAGTTTTTCAAAAGTTTCCCTACATTCGTTGTCGAATTCGAACTTTGTGTTTTTCTTCAGCAAGTTATAAAGCGGACGGCCCAGTACTGAAAAAGATTCTACGAATTTTCTTAAATATGAGCACAACGCTATGAACGATTGCGACTCTCGCTGACTTTTGGGGACCGTAAAATTTGTTATAGCTTTTATGTGGTGTTCGGAAGGTATTATGCCGGTTTCCGATACATTGTATCCGAGGTGTACAATTCCGTTGTATACGAATTTACATTTCCTAAGATTTATTTGGAGGCCGTGTGTCGCTGGTTTCTCTAGTACTCTGAAGTAAATTAAGGTAATCAGTCATACTTTTACTCCCAATTATAATATCGTCCATATGAACTATTATTTCGTTTCTTCCTATAAATTTCTTCAAAATTTTTGCGATGAATCTTTGGAAAATAGTTGGCCCATTCTTAAGTCCAAAAGGCATTCTTAAGAACTCGTACTGGCCATTAGGTATTACGAACGAGGTATATTTAATAGATTCTTCGGCCATTTTAATTTGATAAAACCCTGATTTGATGTCTGTAAACATTTTGTTCTCACCAAGGTATTCCAAGCAATCTTTTATCAACGGAAGTAGGTAGTTGTCTCTTACAATTGTTGTTGTTGTTGTTGTAGCAGCATACAAATTCCCCAAAGACTTTTTGGGGAGTGTTGCTGGAGTGACAGTCCTTGGCCAGATATAAATCTGGGTCGTTCCGGTTACGTAGACCCGACTGTCGTGGGAACGTCTCTTACAATTGATTTATTTAGGTTCCTATAGCTACACATTCTTCTCCTGATTTTTTTCTTCGTAACTAACCCCGTTTAGGTCGGCTAAGTATCTCAGAAGTTGTTCGCCCATAGGGCTACATTTGCTACGTATTCTTCTGCTCAGGGCTGGCATCGAGTCAAACCCAGGGCCTACACCTGCTGTGTATGCCAGAGACGACTACACCACAACTCCACCTCAGTGCAATGCTTGCGGCGGGTGGAGACACCTCAGAGTCTGCTCAGGACTACGGACCCATCGGCAGTGGACCACATCACTTGTGGCCCCATGCTGCTCAAACAAAGGAGCCTTCACGGCTAATCCCAGTCCATCTGAGCAGCTCAACACAAACACCACAGCACGACAACACAACAACACANTGGAAAATAGTTGGCCCATTCTTAAGTCCAAAAGGCATTCTTAAGAACTCGTACTGGCCATTAGGTATTACGAACGAGGTATATTTAATAGATTCTTCGGCCATTTTAATTTGATAAAACCCTGATTTGATGTCTGTAAACATTTTGTTCTCACCAAGGTATTCCAAGCAATCTTTTATCAACGGAAGTAGGTAGTTGTCTCTTACAATTGTTGTTGTTGTTGTTGTAGCAGCATACAAATTCCCCAAAGACTTTTTGGGGAGTGTTGCTGGAGTGACAGTCCTTGGCCAGATATAAATCTGGGTCGTTCCGGTTACGTAGACCCGACTGTCGTGGGAACGTCTATTACAATTGATTTATTTAGGTTCCTATAGCTACACATTCTTCTCCTGATTTTTTTCTTCGTAACTAACCCCGTTTAGGTCGGCTAAGTATCTCAGAAGTTGTTCGCCCATAGGGCTACATTTGCTACGTATTCTTCTGCTCAGGGCTGGCATCGAGTCAAACCCAGGGCCTACACCTGCTGTGTATGCCAGAGACGACTACACCACAACTCCACCTCAGTGCAATGCTTGCGGCGGGTGGAGACACCTCAGAGTCTGCTCAGGACTACGGACCCATCGGCAGTGGACCACATCACTTGTGGCCCCATGCTGCTCAAACAAAGGAGCCTTCACGGCTAATCCCAGTCCATCTGAGCAGCTCAACACAAACACCACAGCACGACAACACAACAACACAACAATACAATAGACCACACCACAACCACGACAGACCACACAACAGACACAACCGAACAACCACCCATACGCCGCCGCTAACAACTCCTGGTTCCTCCTACAATCTGCACGGTATGTCAGACCAGGATATTCCGTAACGTGACATCAGTCAAAGGCAACACCTGCCTTGGCTGGTGCCACTTTAGGGCATGTTTAGGTCTGCGCTCCACGCGAGCTTGGACGAGGAACTACGAGGAACCCGTTGCGCCGCTCGATCGCAAACCCCAATTGCAACGCCACCCACTACCACCACAGGGCGGCAACCTTCACAGCAGCGCACAAAGCCAATGGCGGCACGGCACACACATCTCTTACACCCCGCATAATCACCCTCATTGCGCGAGTCGTGTCGAATGCAAGTCGTTTTTCGAGAGTCGAATCGTATCGAAAATTTCACGTCATTGCCTAAAATTTCCACTCGACTAGTGTATTAAAACGGAAAAACTTGACAGCACTGTACAATTTTCGACAATTTTCGTCGTTTATTTATTTCAGCACGACAGTAGACAATGCCAATGTTGTCGAGTCGTACAATTTAGCCTAATTTGCGACTTACACAATGAGGCTGAACAACACGTCTCCCGAACCACATGAAGCTCCTGCAATTTAAATGTAACGGACTTCAGAGCAAGATCGAGGAGATAACCGTTTTCATGGGAAGGCATGGTATATTGATAGCTGCGGTGCAAGAGACGATGTTGCACAGCAACGCAACATTGTTGAATTGTGCCGGATACAACGTGCACCGTCGAGATCGCGAGCGAGATAATGGTGCTGGCTTAGCGTTCGTCACGCACCACACCGTGCAGTATAGTCTTATTCAGACATGGGCACTTTTGCCCGTATGGGCTTTTTTGCCCGTATGGGCAAGCGAGCCCATTTCGCGGGCTTGATCAGGGGAAAATCATAAGCACACGGGAAGGGGGCAACAAATCTTACTAATACACGTATAGCAATGAGAGCCACTGCACACGCATTCTGGAGTAAAAAGGCTCACTCTCCCAAACGTACGCCACATACATTTCTCGTAATTTGAATAGCTCAACTTTTTAATCTTTAGTATTTACACTTTTAATTTTGTTTAATATTCATGGGTGGGCTTTCCAAAACGGAACCAATCGAAATTTCAGCGAAAGTATAAGGAATTTCGTCATGAAACTTGGTGAGGATGTTGGGGGAGGCCTCTTCAACATGAATTGTTCACTTTCACAATATAATTGCTAATAGTATTTTAGCAATTTGTTGTTAAATAATGTCCACTATCACCCCCTAATTTTTTTAAAATATGCCACTTATCAATTATATTTTGGGGTGGGCTTTCCAAAACCGAACCAATCGAAATTTCAGCGAAAGTATAAGGAATTTCGTTGTTGTTGTAATTGCTACAATACTATTAGCAATTATATTGTGAGAGTGAACAATTCATGTTGAGGAGGCCTCCCCCAACATCCTCACCAAGTTTCATGACGACATCGACGAGACGGAGCTTCATCTGCCTCGGGAGACGCGCACTACACTTGCACAACTTCGCTCCGGCTACTGCAGCAGGTTAAACTCCTACTTGAGTAGGCTGAATGAGGATGTGCCTAACGAATGTCCGGCATGCGGAGAGACCCCACATGACTCGAAACATCTCTTCGCATGCCCGGCAAACCCGACATCCCTAACGACCTTGTCCTTATGGGCAAACCCCGCAGAAGCTGCACGCTTCCTAGGGTTGCCGTTAGTGGAACTTGACGACAACGACTGAGATACCAACCGATCTGGGCGGGGTTGTTGTAGCCGCTACAACG